AAAGATAGAGGGAGAAAGAAAGAAAGAGAGAGAGAGAGAAAGAAAGAAAGAAAGAAAGAAAGAAAGAAAGAAAGAAAGAAGGAAAGAAAGAAAGAAAGATTGAGAGTTCAGGACCAGTCTCAGCTATGTAGTTAAGACCTTTAAGACCCTATATCAGAAGGAGGAATAGGGGGAGGAATAGAGGAGGAAGAGGATGAGGAGAAAGAGGAGGGAAGAGAAGAAGGAAAAAAGAAAAGAAGAAAAAGATAGAAGAAAGAAAAAGCTTTTTTTCATGGTTAGTTGAATTCTTTTCGATTTCAAATAAATCTTTGGGGAAATATAGCCTGCAAAAAGACTTGGAAAGAAGAAACTTTGAAGGGAAAAGCTGGTCCAGACTTTCATTTATTTTCAATAATAACTGATATTTCTATTTTGATAAAAGTCAGGAAATGCTAGCCCAAAGTAGGATAACTTGTCATTTGGGAAAGTAGGTGTTTCTCTGACCCGCTGTTACCTCTGAAGTCAGACTGAACTCTAGCCTTCTACAAGTTCATTGGTTTCTCATTTCAGAAGGGTGCTCCCTGTTCCCAGAGCAATAGGGGCCCTGGGAGTCTAGTGGACAGGTCTCCTGAAATCCCCTTTTCTCTTCTTCTCCAGTCATACATCTTCAGAGCTGTCCATAAAATGCACGTTTCCCTGTTTCTTTGAAACTCCTTTTCTCAAGAACCCTGTGTCAAATAAAACTATATGAAATCTGTGCATTTTTCTTTTAATCTAATTATTTTCTTATAGGAATTTCATCCATAAAAATATCAGTAAGCAAGAAAATACATGTGTCATCAACTACTTTATAATCTCCTTAAAATGACTCACTGATAGAAGATCTGTTATATAGCTTCTGTTCTGGAAGCAAAGTGATTGACTGAAGAGAGACAGAGATACATAATTAGCAATTTTTTTCTATATAGACATGTTTTTAATTATTTAAAAATTTTCTTGTGTATAGTGATGACAGGATGATTTTGGACATGTCTTTACTACAATTTTTTTTGCAAGGCCTAGAGATTGAACCCATGACCTTGCACATGTGAGGCAAGTGCTCTGCCACTGAGCCGCATCCTCTGTTGATCATGTCTAAGTAGGCATTTAGAATGAATAGTTATATTTTAAAATGATCCTTTAAACTTAGGCACCAATTGTTCATTTTTGAGTTGAACCTTTACAGTGTCCATACCTAAAGCACTCTTGTATGCTGTTCTCCTAATGAGCCAAGACCTTGGAACAGTCTTCCTTATGATAGAAATCATCTCATTTAATAGTTGTCATAGACCACAATTCATTCAAAGGGCTCCACTTAGCTGGCACTCCACATGGACATTTCTTATAGTTAATGCTGTTACTGGGGAATTAACCTTTCACGCCTCTTTCTACTTGATCCTACCTGTTGACATTTGCATGCCAAAAAAAGAATATGTCAGTGGCATGAGAAATTGAACATGAGGTTTCAAAGTGATTGTCTGCCAGATAGACAGAGTTCACTGAGGAAGGTGACAGGAAGACATGTGAAGATCATGCCAGACACTGAGATATATGTTTAGAAACGGGGGAAACAAATGACTAGTAGGAAAAGCCAAGGGGAGCAAAATCACTAGAAAGTACACAGCAGATGGTGGCAGGTGACAGTGGACCACAAGCAGGAGAATAAAGGGGACAATTTGCAGAGAGAGAGGCAGCACTGAGGAAAGAATCAGGCAGCTGGTCAAAGAGGCATCAGTTTTACTTCGTCAAAAATACATATTGTTCTGGCTTTTTCATCTTGCTGTTGAATGAGAATTCTCTGACCATGTAGGAAAAAAAGGAAAGATGAACACCAAAATCGCTCACAGGAGCTTATGGAAAGAATGGGGGTGCCAGCACATGGTAATGCTACTGTGGGTCCTCAGAACAAAAGCTTCACTCTAGGTAACAAATTTTTATATTCTTGTATATAAGTAATAGGAGAAAAAATTATCTATAAATCTGCCTGTATATGACAGCAGATATTTATATTTAGTTTACTCTCATTTTCCTAATACTCTGTGATCACATTTCATTTCTTTTTTAAGATTTGTTTTTATTTTTAATTATGTGAATACATGTGTGTCTCTTTGTGGGTATGTGCACATAAGTGCAGGGCCCTCAGAAGCCAAAGGAATTGGATCTTCCAGGAGCTGGAGTTACCGGAGGTTGTGAGCCACCTGACTTGAGTGCTGGGAATTAAACTCGAGTCCTCTGGAGGAGCAGTACCTGCTCTTAGCTGCTGAACCATCTCCACAAGCAGATATTGCATATCTTACTATTTAATGTCTGCTTTCTCCAATGAGCTACAAACTCCAGAAGGACTCAGATCTGTTTTCTTTACTATTCGGTCCCTGCATCAAGTTCAAAGCCTGCCATGCAGTAATGATTATATATTTAGATGATGAATGAATAAGTAATTCATAGAGAAATAGCAAAATTTACATTAATGATTATTAATGTGCAGCAAAGTTTTAAAACCCATGACCACCCGAAAAGAAAAGGTTTTTCTGTGAGTATATTTGAAACATTCAAATGAATATTTTTTGTGTTTAAAGATTTATAATTCTCTAAGGGATTATCTTAAAGAAATAAGGCTTAGTGATGCTTTCAATGTTTTCTGGCTCTGGATGGATGAAAGGAACTATAAATAGAATTAGAGCTCTCTTTTGGTTTTTGAGTTCTTGTTTTAAACTTCTGGAATGTATGGAAACTACTAAAAATACTAAATATTTAAAAAATGGATAAAAGATGGAGAATTTAGATTAACTTTAGAACTAAATAACAGATTCAGGCTTTCTTCCATTCAGTTATTGAGTCTCTGTAGTCATATTAAGAGGCTGT